TGTGTAGTTATGGGTCAGGTTAGTAGGGCTGTCAACTTTAGTCGTTTAGTCGACTAATCGGTCGATGCCGTCTTGGTCGACTGACATTCTTATTGGTCGACCAGTTGCATTTATTTTTTTTACCAATAGAAAGAAATTTTCAATGATTTACTCCTTGATATTTATTCCTTTATAAGCAGTTAAATATTACTGTATTCTAAATATAATTAGCCTATGGTTTATCCCCAACTTTAAATGCTTTAATTTAGGCTATTTTGTAACAGCGCCACAGTTTAGCGCACACACATAAACACTCGGTTCGCACCTGTGGCTGGCTGCGCTGCTGCTTCGCGCTCAGTAAGGGATATAGGTAGTGTAGCTGTATTCATTCAGTTAGAACGCTACTTGTTTCGGTTTTTATGTTTTTATACACTATATGTTTTTATCTCGATGCGGCGTGGACGCACTTGGAAAAAAAAGAGCGCGTCGCACCGCGACCGTTGCTTCCATCATTAGCGCACACCGCGCGCCTACATTTGAAATCGAACTTGAGCGCGCAAAAGACGTGAGCAGTCCCTTTAACGGCTTTATCATGCTGACTCAATAGATTGTGTTTTCTTGATATGTTTTTGTTTTTATTTGTACACTTGACGCATTTGAAAATAGCCTAAATAATGTAACAAAACGAAAATAAACCTATATGCGGTCCTACAATAAAGCCTATTATTATTAGGATTGTTTTTTAGGCTCTTTGGGTTTTTGTGTGTGTTTGTTTTAAAACGCCTAGATAGGCTGGACAAAAGTTAACCTATAGCTTTGAAAGTAAAGAAGAATATACAGCCTGTATAAACGAGAGCTTTTGTTAGGATTTTTCATTGTGGCAGATAGCAGTTATATTTTTTGTAGCGTGTGGTGTGGTCAGGTGCGCGATTGTGACTGTCACTATAGACCTAGGACAGAGCTCCTCACTTTTTGCAGTTAAAAAAAAATCACTTAATTTTCAAAGAATTGTATGATTATTATAGTTTTATGTATTTTTGATGTTTTTTCGTTGTTGTTTTATAAATGCTCTATGACAATTGTTAAAAAATGTTCAATCAAAACATCGCGTCTTTTTTTTTTTTTTTTTTTTTTTTTAGTCGACTAATCGTTGCGCAGGACAAGACTTTGGTCGACTAAGGATTTCTTTGGTTGACTACAGCCCTACAGGTTAGTGAGTGAGTAACAGTGGAGTAACCCTCGGTGTGTAGTTATGCGTCAGGTTAGTGAGTGAGTAACAGTGGAGTAACCCTCGATGTGTGTGTAGTTATGGGTCAGGTTAGTGAGTGAGTAACAGTGGAGTAACCCTCGGTGTGTGTAGTTATGGGTCAGGTTAGTGAGTGAGTAACAGTGGAGTAACCCTCGGTGTGTGTGTGTAGTTATGGGTCAGGTTAGTGAGTGAGTAACAGTGGAGTAACCCTCGGTGTGTGTGTGTAGTTATGGGTCAGGTTAGTGAGTGAGTAACAGTGGAGTAACCCTCGGTGTGTGTGTAGTTATGGGTCAGGTTAGTGAGTGAGTAACAGTGGAGTAACCCTCGGTGTGTGTGTGTAGTTATGGGTCAGGTTAGTGAGTGAGTAACAGTGGAGTAACCCTCGGTGTGCGTGTGTAGTTATGGGTCAGGTTAGTGAGTGAGTAACAGTGGAGTAACCCTCGGTGTGCGTGTGTAGTTATGGGTCAGGTTAGTGAGTGAGTAACAGTGGAGTAACCCTCGGTGTGTGTGTAGTTATGGGTCAGGTTAGTGAGTGAGTAACAGTGGAGTAACCCTCGGTGTGTGTAGTTATGGGTCAGGTTAGGGAGTGAGTAACAGTGGAGTAACCCTCGGTGTGTGTGTAGTTATGGGTCAGGTTAGTGAGTGAGTAACAGTGGAGTAACCCTCGGTGTGTGTGTAGTTATGGGTCAGGTTAGGGAGTGAGTAACAGAGGAGTAATCCTCGGTGTGTGTGTAGTTATGGGTCAGGTTAGGGAGTGAGTAACTGTGGAGTAACCCTCTGTGTGTGTGTAGTTATGGGTCAGGTTAGGGAGTGAGTAACAGTGGAGTAACCCTCTGTGTGTGTGTAGTTATGGGTCAGGTTAGGGAGTGAGTAACAGTGGAGTAACCCTCGGTGTGTGTAGTTATGGGTCAGGTTAGTGAGTGAGTAACAGTGGAGTAACCCTCGGTGTGTGTGTAGTTATGGGTCAGGTTAGGGAGTGAGTAACAGTGGAGTAACCCTCGGTGTGTGTGTAGTTATGGGTCAGGTTAGGGAGTGAGTAACAGTGGAGTAACCCTCGGTGTGTGTGTAGTTATGGGTCAGGTTAGGGAGTGAGTAACAGTGGAGTAACCCTCTGTGTGTGTGTAGTTATGGGTCAGGTTAGGGAGTGAGTAACAGTGGAGTAACCCTCGGTGTGTGTGTAGTTATGGGTCAGGTTAGTGAGTGAGTAACAGTGGAGTAACCCTCGGTGTGTGTGTAGTTATGGGTCAGGTTAGGGAGTGAGTAACAGTGGAGTAACCCTCGGTGTGTGTGTAGTTATGGGTCAGGTTAGGGAGTGAGTAACAGTGGAGTAACCCTCGGTGTGTGTGTAGTTATGGGTCAGGTTAGTGAGTGAGTAACAGTGGAGTAACCCTCGGTGTGTGTGTAGTTATGGGTCAGGTTAGTGAGTGAGTAACAGTGGAGTAACCCTCGGTGTGTGTGTGTAGTTATGGGTCAGGTTAGTGAGTGAGTAACAGTGGAGTAACCCTAGGTGTGCGTGTGTAGTTATGGGTCAGGTTAGTGAGTGAGTAACAGTGGAGTAACCCTCGGTGTGTGTGTAGTTATGGGTCAGGTTAGGGAGTGAGTAACAGTGGAGTAACCCTCGGTGTGTGTGTAGTTATGGGTCAGGTTAGTGAGTGAGTAACAGTCGAGTAACTCTCGGTGTGTGTGTAGTTATGGGTCAGGTTAGGGAGTGAGTAACAGTGGAGTAACCCTCGGTGTGTGTGTGTAGTTATGGGTCAGGTTAGGGAGTGAGTAACAGTGGAGTAACCCTCGGTGTGTGTGTAGTTATGGGTCAGGTTAGGGAGTGAGTAACAGTGGAGTAACCCTCGGTGTGTGAGTAGTTATGGGTCAGGTTAGTGAGTGAGTAACAGTGGAGTAACTCTCGGTGTGTGTGTAGTTATGGGTCAGGTTAGGGAGTTAGTAACAGTGGAGTAACCCTCGGTGTGTGTGTAGTTATGGGTCAGGTTAGGGAGTGAGTAACAGTGGAGTAACCCTCGGTGTGTGTGTAGTTATGGGTCAGGTTAGTGAGTGAGTAACAGTGGAGTAACCCTCGGTGTGTGTGTGTAGTTATGGGTCAGGTTAGGGAGTGAGTAACAGTGGAGTAACCCTCGGTGTGTGTGTAGTTATGGGTCAGGTTAGGGAGTGAGTAACAGTGGAGTAACCCTCGGTGTGTGAGTAGTTATGGGTCAGGTTAGTGAGTGAGTAACAGTGGAGTAACTCTCGGTGTGTGTGTAGTTATGGGTCAGGTTAGGGAGTGAGTAACAGTGGAGTAACCCTCGGTGTGTGTGTGTAGTTATGGGTCAGGTTAGGGAGTGAGTAAAAGTGGATTAACCCTCGGTGTGTGTGTAGTTATGGGTCAGGTTAGGGAGTGAGTAACAGTGGAGTAACCCTCGGTGTGTGAGTAGTTATGGGTCAGGTTAGTGAGTGAGTAACAGTGGAGTAACCCTCGGTGTGTGTGTAGTTATGGGTCAGGTTAGGGAGTGAGTAACAGTGGAGTAACCCTCGGTGTGTGAGTAGTTATGGGTCAGGTTAGTGAGTGAGTAAAAGTGGAGTAACCCTCGGTGTGTGTGTAGTTATGGGTCAGGTTAGGGAGTGAGTAACAGTGGAGTAACCCTCGGTGTGTGAGTAGTTATGGGTCAGGTTAGTGAGTGAGTAACAGTGGAGTAACCCTCGGTGTGTGTGTGTAGTTATGGGTCAGGTTAGTGAGTGAGTAACAGTGGAGTAACCCTCGGTGTGTGTGTAGTTATGGGTCAGGTTAGTGAGTGAGTAACAGTGGAGTAACCCTCAGTGTGTGTGTAGTTATGGGTCAGGTTAGTGAGTGAGTAACAGTGGAGTAACCCTCGGTGTGTGTGTAGTTATGGGTCAGGTTAGTGAATGAGTAACAGTGGAGTAACCCTCGGTGTGTGTGTAGTTATGGGTGAGGTTAGTGAGTGAGTAACAGTGGAGTAACCCTCGATGTGTGTGTAGTTATGGGTCAGGTTAGTGAGTGAGTAACAGTGGAGTAACCCTCGGTGTGTGTGTAGTTATGGGTCAGGTTAGTGAGTGAGTAACAGTGGAGTAACCCTCGGTGTGTGTGAGTAGTTATGGGTCAGGTTAGTGAGTGAGTAACAGTGGAGTAACCCTCGGTGTGTGTGTGTAGTTATGGGTCAGGTTAGGGAGTGAGTAACAGTGGAGTAACCCTAGGTGTGCGTGTGTAGTTATGGGTCAGGTTAGTGAGTGAGTAACAGTGGAGTAACCCTCGGTGTGTGTGTGTAGTTATGGGTCAGGTTAGGGAGTGAGTAACAGTGGAGTAACCCTCGGTGTGTGTGTGTAGTTATGGGTCAGGTTAGGGAGTGAGTAACAGTGGAGTAACCCTCGGTGTGTGTGTGTAGTTATGGGTCAGGTTAGGGAGTGAGTAACAGTGGAGTAACCCTCGGTGTGTGTGTGTAGTTATGGGTCAGGTTAGGGAGTGAGTAACAGTGGAGTAACCCTCGGTGTGTGTGTGTAGTTATGGGTCAGGTTAGGGAGTGAGTAACAGTGGAGTAACCCTCGGTGTGTGTGTGTAGTTATGGCTCAGGTTAGTGAGTGAGTAACAGTGGAGTAACCCTCGGTGTGTGTGTAGTTATGGGTCAGGTTAGTGAGTGAGTAACAGTGGAGTAACTCTCGGTGTGTGTGTAGTTATGGGTCAGGTTAGGGAGTGAGTAACAGTGGAGTAACCCTCGGTGTGCGTGTGTAGTTATGGGTCAGGTTAGGGAGTGAGTAACAGTGGAGTAACCCTCGGTGTTGGTGGCGCTGCTGATGACGTTGCTGAGCTTGGTCTTCAGGCTGGTGAAGGAGACGCTGTTGCTGCCGGCGCTCTCGAAGCGACCGGTCCCCAGAGACACCACACACTGCAGCGGGACGTCCGGCCACAGACACTGGCACTCGTGGATGGCAAGAGCCGTGGGGTTGTTGATCAGCATCCCACCGTCCTGCACACACACACACACACACACACACACACCACTGTCAAGCATACGCTTTCTTAATCACTTTCATTAACCCTATTAAGATACTGTATCATATTAGGCTTCTCTGATAAACCTGTGGATCTCCTCCAGTCCTTCTGTGTCTGATTGATCGTTTAGACTTTATCTAGTAAAAGTCTTTCAGTATGACTGTACAAACTTCAGCTCATGCTTCTCGTGTCTTTCTGCTGTCAAATCTGCACTGATTGTATCAAGTAAACGCATTAATAACTTTGATATTCTTAGTAATATTTCAGCTGGACTGAAGCAGGTTTACTTTATCATACATCATTTATTAGAAAAATCATGAGTATTAAAAATGATCAGGTTCAATAAACTGTTACATTTCAAAACAAATATATTTTTCTGACTATTACTTCACATGTCAGGCTTTACAGGATTAATAATGATTCAAACTTTGTATTTTAAAGAATATAAATTTTAACAGTA